TCTGTTAAAATGATCACTTTTGGGAGTGGATCTTCCAATGCTGAACCAACACTGCCATCCCTATAATAAAACCACTTTCTACATACTGCCAAAAAAAAAATTTGTTATGAACCTCCTTCCTAGGGGCAGGGCATATCTGTGTGAGATGAATGATATCATTTGTATAAATCCTCTGGGATACTTATATTCAGATGTAATAGAATCCACTATTAGGTATACCTCCTACTAAGAAAATCAAATAAATAAAAATTCAGTGTATGTTTTTACTATTTTTGCAAACCCCCTAGGTCTGGAGTATTCATAATGGGATTCAATTTACCCACATTTGATTCATGGCCAGCTTTTTCACAGTACACCAGTCATATAGGGACATACTCCACACATTGGCTTGCCCCTAGTAAGTAATCAATATTTATTTGCTTATTCCTTGATCAGTAAGGCAAAGTGCACCTGTACTGGGACATCGTCACTCTGATGTGACAAAGGCTAGATTTCCCCCCAGAGATGGAACACTCACCAGCTCTCTGTTCTTTTTCCAGTCCCCTAAATCTGCCTTCATTAGTGCTGCGAAGAAGGCCAAGCTGAGGTCTAATCCTGTGAAGGTTCGATTTTCCGAGCAGGTAGCAATTGGAGAAACAGGCGCAGTAAGTACATCCTCAGCTCTCTCTCTTCAGCCCTTGGCCAGAATCAGCTTGGCTGTCAAGATCTTGCTCTGGAGCCCCTTGCAGTGGATGGAGTTTTGAAGGGGTTGGAGTGGGAGGAATTCCAGTGCTGTGAGTGAGGAGGTACTGAGTGGAGAGGAGTGTGCAGCATCAAGAGAGGCCCTGGGCATTGGAGGAAGAAGAAACACATATTGATTCACTTGGGATCCTCTTGGTGCTTAGAGAAATTTCTGTTCCTAGCACAATAGCTTACACTTAAGGCAAGTGCTCCATAAATCTCTTTTGCTACTTGATAGAAGCAGAAAGGAAGTAATGATTTTCTGAAGATCCAAAGAACAAGTGGCTGGTTAAATTAAGCTCTCTTTACATTTAAGTGGCCCTGCAATTCCACGTCTTGCCTGTAGAAGACTGGTGATGGGTGAAGCTGCCTAGGGGAAATGACAGACTCTCCTTAAAACTCCAATTTTTTATCAGGTATCTGCTGGGCACCTTAGACATCACAACGGGTTCAAAATAAATCCCTGTTTCCCGCCACTTTCCAGATACCTTTCAGGTGTTCTAGGGACACATGGTTCAGATTGAGACAATAGAATGAATATCCACTTCTCAGTGGTGTCATCTTGGGGAACAGGTAGTGTTTGACAGCCCATGCCATGTAGCTGCCAGTCGGGCAGGAGAGGGGTTCTGACCAGCCCATGCTCTTCTTGCTGCCTGAGTTTTCATGCAGTGTGCTGTCTGCTCCAGATGTGCAGATGAGAAGAGGTGGGTGGAAAGCAGAAAAGTGTATTCAGCAATCATGGATTCTGGCCCAAAGCCCTCCAGGAATCTGTGGAAGGTGGTGATAGCCCAGTGGGACAGGGATAGCTGGAGCTAGCAGGCACTCGTGCTTTTTGTAGGCAGTAGAGGGATGGGCTGTCAGAGGCCTTAGCATTTATGTACTGAGGCACAGCTGCAGTTGCTGAGAGAAGACAGCAGGCCCAAAATGAGCAGGGAAATCAGCAGGATATCAAGCACTTCTATAGTTCTTTGAGGCAGAGCCACTCAGAAGAAGGGATAGAGGACACAGGTGTCTCCCATCTCCATTTCCATCTCATCCCCCAAACCAGCCCATGCCCTCCATCTCTATACAAGGAAAGCCGGAAAGCCTAGAGGACTACAGGACCCCACTGGCAAGCTGACTGAATAATTTGTGATTGGAAGCTCTGTAAATCCTCAAAGAAAATGTTGAAGAGAAGCAAAGATTGGTGAACAGAGTGGAGAGGGACCAGGATGGAGCCCCTAAAGATGAGGGTGAAGCAGATCCTGAGGTCAAGTCACCAAGTGCACATTTGTTTCTTGAACCCTTGAACGCCCTGGGGACATATGGCTTGAATTTTTTTTTTTTTGAGGCAGGGTCTCCCTTTGTAGTTCAATCTGGCCCTGAACTCACTAGGTAGCCCAGGCTGGCCTCAAACTTTCGGCAGTCCTCATGCCTCAGCCTCCCGAGTGCTGGGATTACGGGCATGCGCCACCACACCCGGCTTTATATGGCTTGAATTTGCAAAGTATGGATAGGTACATCCTGTCCCATCTCAACATTACAGAGGAAATCAACCAAGCCAGGGCACCCAGTGAAGAACTCCCTCCCCTCTTCTCCCTTCCCTTATTCCTCTCCTTTTTTCTTCCTTCTCTTCCTCTTCCTTCCACTGTCTCCTTCCTCCACCATGACTGCCTTCTTCATACCTCAAAGCTAGGCCACAGACACAATCAAGCCCCTACTGTAGTCCAACCTGAATCCAAATCCCCCAGAGTATCCAGAACCCATCCTAAATTACCTCTCTCTCCTGGACAGGTCAACAAGCATTGTTCAAGGCTCCTTCCTGTCTGGGAAAGAGACATACATCAATCTTCCAACTCACTGTGCTCAGGAAATTACGTGATGTCACAACAGCATCCCATCCACCGCTGCCACCAGTGTGGACCATGGCAGCATACTGGGACCTGGGGGAGTCCAGGTCCAGGTGACTCCAGACTATTCTATCATCCCTTTCCCCTCATTTTCCAAAGCTTTATTAGGCAGCAGGGGCAAAAATAAATCCTGTGGGTGCTCCTTGCCAACTCTATTTTGAAGCAAAATCAATTAAGTAATTATCTGAGTCCAACCCAATGTGCTAAATAAAAACTGCCACTGCTGAGCATCATTAGCCTGGGGATCCAGGCCTCTGTGCTTGGCAGGAATGAGGCACCCCATCAGGGATCATAGAGGACCAGGGAGCCACACTATTCCATCTTGATATCCCATTGCTTCGCACCTTGGCTTGACCCCAGGCAAACTTGACTCCAGGCTCCCCACCTCTGCTAGCCACATTCCAACTCAAGAGGACTTGCTTGTTTCTATTTAACTGCTTTGTCTGTGACAGTCACTAGATCTGGAGTGTTCTCTTTTGGCTTCTCTAATAATCCATACCTACCATCTCCTTCAAAATCAAAATCCGATTCGCCTTACCTTGAAAACATTAACCATTTTATGCCTGTTGGTTTGTTTTGGTTTCAGTGTGTGTGTGCGTGTGTGCGTGTGTGTGTGTGTGTGTGTGTGTTTGTATGTTCACTATAACAGATTACTGTAAGACTGGACACAAGTCCTCTATTTTTTTTGTAGTCCTCCTGGGGGCTTAGCATAGTGCTGAGTATAGAGTACAGGTTCAATAAATGTCCGTTGAATTAAGGAATCTTCTGTGCAGCCTATGAGTTCCTCTAGAACTGATAATGTTGGCCCAGAGAAATGGTTGCAGCCTTGTCATGAGTCTAATCATTCAAGTAAGCACATACTAAGCACCTACTGCTCATTCATTGAGCAGCCACTTACTGGACACCAACTGTGTGCCAAAAAACTCTGTTTATTATTGGAATTACAAAGATTAATAGATGTTGTGGTTGTGTTCTGAGTTTACAGTTTGGGAACAAAAAATATTCTTCAAAAATATGAATGTACTGAGAAAGGTGTATATAAATTGCTCTATGAACACATGGGAAGTCTAGGCCCTAAGTATCTGATAATATTGGACCAAGGCTTTACAGAATACATATTTGAGCTGAGTTTTAAAGGCTGAATAGAAGTTTGACAAGAAGGGAAAGGGGAAGACAGAAGGAATGGCCTTTACTTAATGAGTTCTTACTGAGAAATTAACATGTGCCATTATATAAGAAAGAAACCCCAGCCTGGGCCAGAAAAAGTTATGCTAAGGAGTTAGCAGGTGTTCAGAAATGGGCCTTGCCAGTGGTTTTCAATCAGGGTCAGTGCTGCCAACTCCAGGAACTTTTGGAAATATTTGCAGCTGCCTTGGAGCATCCTTATAATTGGTCATGCTACCGGCATTTAGTGTCTCAGGGTCAGAGATCCTGAGTATCCTCCAGGGAATGAGACGTTCGTGAACAATGAAGAATTGTCAGAGATATGGAGGCATGAGAGAGGCAAAAGTACTAGAAATGATAAGACATGACTCCAGAAAGGAAGGCATGGGCTAGGTCAGAAAGGGCCAGAAAGCTGAGCATGGAGGCACATGCCTGTAATCCCAGCCCTCTGGTTGGCTGAGACAGGAGGATCACAAGTTCCAGCCCAGCCTGGACAAGTTAGTAACTTAGAGAGACCCTGTCTCAAAATAAAAAATAAAAAAGGGATGGGAATGCAGCGCAATATGAAGGCCCCGGGTTCAATACCCAATGGAGAAAAAAGGAAGGAGGAAAGGAAGGAAGGAAGGAAGGAAGGAAGGAAGGAAGGAAGGAAAAGCTAGGATGCCATGAAGAGGAGGGAATGGCAGAGCAAAGGCAGACAGAGGAGTGGCCTCAGCTTGTGAAGGCCCAGATGGAAAGGGAAGTATCAGGAGAGAGGCTGAGGTGAGTGAGGTGGGCTCAAAAAGAGCCTTTCATGGACCCTTCAGGCTGTCATAGGCCAAGCACAGCTCGAAGCTGTGGCACTTTGAACCACAGTAGAGTGCAAGTTCACTGTGATGTCAAATGAAGGATTAACTTTTGATATGGCCCAGTGTCTTCTTGGGGAATTTGGTTTTGGTCTCCACAAAACATTATTACTGATCTGCTTTCTTCTCTGTCTCTGTCCTCCCATCCCTTTGGCTCCCTGTCTCCTTCTCCTTCTCCTTCTTCCTTGCCACACCATCCTGTGGCTTCCCTCCTCCTTCTAAATGAGCCCTCTCCTTTCCCTGCCTGTTCATAGAAAATGATGAAGAAGGAAGCCCTCCTCCTCATCCCCAATGTCCTGAAGGTTTTCTTAGAAAATGGGCAGATCAAGTCATTCACTTTTGATGGCCGGACCACTGTTAAGGTACATACAGTCTCCTCATCTGGTCCCATGCTCCTCTGAGAATGTACGTGGCTGCTCGCTGCCAGAGCAAGGTGGCCTTTGACCTCCTGATATTTCATGAGGCTTTAGAAATGCAGTCCTCAGATGAGGCTGGGGGTGGAAATTTGCATGCTCAACTGTGTGCTAGTAATTGCAAAAATATGTGTATGCATATGTGGGCACCTGTGTGCATGTCTGCTTGTCAGTTGCTTTATGTACACATTATACATGGTCTTCAGGACTCTTAGGAACTGAGAAGTCTGAAGATCATTAAGCCAGTTATAAAGCAAAAGTGATTTATATTAATACAGTAATACCTAAGCAAATTTACACACAGAAATAAACAAATGCAATCTCTTGAGATTAGCTTAGCCATCCCTTCCTTTTTAAATAACAACCAGGTCTTGAGCACTGAACCAAGATTTGAAAATTCCAGCCACAGCCCCTTTGGCTATTCTTTTCACAGGCAGAGCAATTACAGTACTGAACTGTGATTCTTAACAGCTCAGCCAGGCATCAAAAAGTCCTAGTGATTCTTAGTCCTGAGGAGTAGAGGCAATGATAGGTTTACTCTGCTCTGGGACAGAAATATCTGTTCATACTTTTTCTGGACTCTCTCCAGAAAAAGAATGCCAACCCAAGAATGAATGTTTTAATACAACCAATGCTCCCCAAACTGCTGGGCAAGTACTGCACCTACCCAAGAAACCTACCTTGTCCCACAGGTGTCCTGAGGTTCCCACCCTGGGGACAAGAGAATCCTATAAGTAAGAAAACCCTGGGCTGGGGATTTAGCTCAGTGGTTCGCTGCCTGCCTTGCAAGTGCAAGGTCCCGAGTTCAATCCCCAATACAAAAAAAGAAAGAAAGAAAGAAAACCCTGGGCTAGGAAACTTTTGTAAAAAAAAAAAAAGCTTTTGCAAAGAGGATTTATCAGGTGCTCAGAATGGGCCTTCCCAGTGGTTTTCTACAAGGGTTGGTACTGCACACTCCCAGAGAACTTTTGCAATTGTCTAAGGGTATTTTGGATCATCCCAATGATTTGTTGTGCTACTGGCTTTTAGTACCTCAAGATCAAAGATGCTGAGTGTTCTGGAGGAGAGACCATCCCTGAATGATGAAGAATTGCTCTGCCCAGAGTTCCAGTAGCGTTTGATTGCAGTACAGTGTGCCTAAACCATGTTGATTGAATGAACAGTTTCTTTTTTTTTTTTTTAACTTTCTACGCAGTACATAACAATTACATTCATCATGGGGAGTTGAACCAAGAGTTTCTTTGGGAGGCTTAGGCCTAGGTGGATTTCCAAGAGGACCTAGGACCAAAGTGCACTCCTTAGGGAGCCATAGGATGGTCTCTTGGCCACTGAAGTTCTCAGGCTATGGGAGGGGACTTTGAAACAGAACTAGGCTATCCAGAGGGAATCCAAATGTCCCTCCTCCAGATGTGGGTATCTCTTTGTATTGAAATGTTCCTTGGTATTTGTTCATGGGTTATTTGCCCACTGTACAGTCTGTCTCCACACTGGAATGTTTACCACCCTCTCTTCCCCCTTGGAGGCTTCTCCAAACATTTTTCCTACCTCCTGTTGTCACCGCATTCATGGCATCCATCTAGCCTGGGCTCTGCAGAACAGCAGTGTTTCTCTCACTGATGATGTCACTCTGACTTCAGGAAGGGCACACTGGTTGTTTATTGGAACTTTGATAGGTTGCCAAGCCATTTGTCCCAGAGAGGTACCTGGATGAATTGACAGCCTGGCGCAGGGGCTATTACACTTGTAACACCAGTTGGCAATCATCAGCTTGGCCAGTCACAATCCCAATGCAGCTGAACTGCAAAGAAAACTTCATGTGTCCCTGCCAGAGCTCCAGCAACACTGGCCAGCAGCTCTGTGACTACTTGGATAACACAAAGAGATCCTCTCAAGTACCCACCAATTTCCAGCCTCCCATCTGAATGGCTAAATATCTTTCAGTGTGCACTGAGGGGCTTGTTTGGCAGCTCTGACTGTCAGAGAGCTTTATGTTCCCATGCCTGCTTCTTTCCAGCTTTTGAGGCCTGGGAGATGCTGACTCCATGAACACACACACTGGAATACAGAGAATATGCCAAAGTCACAGCAAATAAATAGCAGAAGTCTAAAAACTGACATTTGGCCAGCCCCCACCAATATGTTTCCAGGCGCCCTAGTATTAAAAGTAGGGCAGCAGAGCAGACAGAGCCCAGAAGTAGTCAGATTTATGACTATACACCAGACACGTGACATAATTCCTCTGCATGGACACATTTTTCAAGTGGCTAAATTGAATATATAAAAACCAGCTAGAGTCAAAAATGAACATTTTACCAGTAACTCAAGTCATTTGATTTAGATTATGAATCTACAAATGGTATATTTTTAATCATATAAGTGTAGCTTTTACTTTTGTTAATTTCTAAGTAAAGAGTTGACAGACAAATCAGAGTGGACATTGTGACAGGAGAAAAGATGAGGAAAGAACCAACATTGCACTTGGCACTCAGAAAATAATTTGTTGACTGGAAGGAAGGAGGAAGAAATATAACTTTCTTTTACCATATGCCAGGAACAGCTACCTCCACCCCCTGAACTGTTGGTGTTTCCCAGGGCCCAGACCTGTGGGCAGCACTCGGGGGTCCCTTATTCATCTTGGAACACAAGGCTTGGGCCACCATAAAGGCTAGTGTTTCAGCCTGCTCCACAGGATGGTAGTGCTTTGTTTTCAATCCCCCCTCCATGTGTTTGGTACTTAAGACAGCTGAGAGCAAGAACAGATCACCCTTCAAGGCTCTTTTTCTTCCATAGGACGTGATGGTGACATTACAGGACCGTCTCTCCTTAAGGTACATTGAGCACTTTGCTCTTGTCCTTGAGTATGCTGGGCCAGAACAGAATCACAAGTTCCTGCTTCTCCAGGACAAGCAACCCCTGGCTTATGTAAGTAACTCCTTTATCCTGACTATAGGTAGGTTTGCATGTGGCCTGTACTAGAGAAGAGAATCCAAGGCATTTTCTGTCTGGAAAATTCATGATTATATGCTCAGCCAGCTCCCAGAAGACACATTTCTTACTTGAGGCTGTTACTGCCCAACTCCAGAGGGCCTTTGGCTATACCCTTTGTGACCCAAGGAGGGCATGAAGACCATTAGTCTTGGTCTCTTAGTGGGAAGAGTACAGTGTGGTGATTCATAGCATAGTACCTGGAATGCCATGTGGGAAAAGGCTGGGGAAATCCAGGACTGCTGGGTGGGATTTCCTCAAGGGAGAGCACCAAGAAGTATCAGAGAGGTGAATAGGACCAGTCAATATTCCCAGGTAGGGTGGGAAGAGTTGAAGGGGTACAGTTGGGTAGAAATACATTTTCAGAGCCTGCATGGAAACCTAATAAAAACCAAAATCGAGCCAGGCATGGTAGTGCAGGCCTGTAATCCCAGCACCTGGGAGGCTGAGGTAGGAGGATCAGCATGAGTTCAAGGTCAGCCTGGGCTACATAGTAAGTTCAAGGCCAACCTGAACTATATAGTGAGACCCTGTCTCAAAAACACAATCAGACGCACAGAAAAAATGAAAAGAATTTTGGAAAATGTCATCATATTCAGCTGTCAGCCGTATGTAATCCAGAAGCTCACAGGTCAAAAAGGAAAAGTTAAGAAGATCCTTCTTTGGAGGAAAGCTTAAGTGCCCCACCCCTCTGCAGGCCCCAAGCATCCTTTGCATCCAATTGGTCCCTTGTTCCAAATGTGATTTAAAACTTTTTATTATAAAAATTTGCAGCCAGGGATTTAGCTCAGTGGTTCCGGCACCTGCCTTGCAAGTGCAAAGTCCTGAGATCAATCCTCAGTACAAAAAAAAAAAATTTAGAAATTATAAAAAATTGCAAACATATACAAATGTAGAAGGAATATAGTATAACAGATTCTATTGCCCATCTCCAACTTCAATGATTACCAGTATATTGCCAACTTGCTTCACCTATACCTTCAAATGGAGTTTTTATTCATTGGGGTTTTTTTGGAGTTTTCATTCTTGAAACCCACAGTAAGTTGTTTATAGATCTCACCTCTAATTAGCAGCTTACTGTGCTTGAGACTGAGCCCCTCTGCAAGCTGTAAGCCTGAGCCCCACAGCAAAAGGAGCCTAAAAAGTTCTCAGGAGCCCTCTCTTCCTCACCAGTGTCTTGGCACTTAGACCTACTTATTTGATACAGGTCATATCCTGGATATGTCATTTAAAAATACAGTGGACCCTTTACTTAGGAACTCAATCAGTTTCCGAGGGCTGATTGTAACTCAAGTTGGTTGTAAGTCAATACAGCTGAGATCTGGATGTATACCTGGGTACACAGTATAGATAACAAGAGGCCGATGAATCTTACATTAACCTAATTAACCCAAGTTGTTCATATGTTAAACCAGTTGTAACTTGAGGGTCCACTGTACATCACTGAGTCAAAAGGGCAGACCTGGCTCCACATCACTTTTCCCTAGGGTACAGTAGTCTCCCCGCTTACCCACAGGGGATACATTCCAAGACCCACAATGAATGCCTGAAACTGCAGACAGTACTGGACCCTATATATATTGTTTAATCATATACATTAATACCTATGATAAAGGTTAATTGATAAGTTAGGAACAGTAAAAAATTAACAGGGCCGGGAATTTAGCTCAGTGGTTCCACCGCCTGCCTCACAAGTGCAAGGTCCCGAGTTTGATCCCCAGCACCAAAAAAAAAAAGAAATTAACAATAATAATAAAATAGCACAACTATAAAAATAGTCCATGGTAAAAGCTATTTAAAACTCACAAATTGTTTATTTCTGGAATTTTCTATTTAAATAGTTTAAGGTCAAGGGTGGCTACTGGTAACTGAAACCAGGGAAAGTGCAACCTTGGGTAAGGGGGCATTGCTGAATATGAATCTGCCAGGTGGGAGACAGAATGGGAAACAACAGCCCAACTCTGCCCCAAACCCCACTTTAAGGACCTACCAAGCTGACTGCCCATGACCCCAGCCATTGATTCTAGATCTCTCTCCCACATGTCTCGTCCCTGTGACTCAGGTGGTACAGCGGACACACTATCATGGAATGAAATGCCTCTTCCGAATAAGCTTCTTTCCCAAAGACCCTGTGGAGCTGCTGCAACGGGATCCTGCTGCTTTCGAGTACCTATACATCCAGGTAGAGTCTGGCTTGGGGATACACAGACAGACAGACAGACCAGTGGACAAAAAAGCAAGCAGGCTATTCTGCCATCACAATGAAGTCTTTATATAAGTTTTTCCAACCTCCAGGTAGCTCTGAAGGCCCTTTCTTTTTCTACTGCCATTGTAATCCATGGCCAAATTGGCTGGCCTGGTGACCTGAGCTGGCTGTGGCTCAAAGTCCTATTCGTCCACACAGAACTCATGAGTTTTCAGGAAGATATAACCTCAGTAATTCTGGAACCTTCACAGGATCCCAAAGTTTGACAAACCCACTTCAGTTTCAGAAGAGCCTCAATTTCTAATACCTAGCTCAAATAAGGGAATGATTCCAAATTCACTTCATCCAGACATATTTACTGAGCACTTCCTCTGGGCCAGGCCCTGCACTAGGTCCTGGTAGTCAGGGGTAAAGAAAGAACTGTCCTGGCTCATCAGAGCTTGCATGTGAATAAATAAATAGGCTGGTAGCAGGGTTCACTGTCAATGAGGGCACCCAGGAATTAGTTTGCCAACTCTGCGTGGGAGAAAGGCAATGACAGCTCCACAGAGGAAGGGATACATGCATACTTTTAGCTACAGAGGATGAGTGGAAGTTGCTGTGTAGAGAGATGGACTAGAGGGGACATATTCTAAGCAAGGGGACTCAGCATTTACAAAGGCATGGTGGCATGAGGCAGCATGACATGAGAAAACTGTGAGTAATTTATTATAACTGCACCACAGGATGTGGTGTAAGGAGCAGTACTAAATGAAGTTGGAGGGACAGGAAGCAGGTGGTAAAGGGCTTGGTAGGCCATGGCAAACATGGGCATTATTATGGAGGCTGGGCAGTGGTTCTGAAAGTCTGGTCACTGAACTGGTAGCATCAACATCAGCTGGGAACTTGCTAGAGATGCAAATTCTTGGGCCCCAACCCAGTCCTATTGAATCAGAAACTCTGGAAGTGGAGCCCAGTGATCTATTTTAACAAGCCTCCATGAGATTCTGTTACCCAAACAACTTTGAAAATCGCTGCCCTAAGACACTGGCTTTTAAACCCAGCTGCACATTAGAATTACCTGGGAAGCTTTGAAAAATTTTATCCACTTCACCAATGACTGATTAAATCAAAATCTATGGGAGTGGGGCCCAAGCATTTGTATTTCCTAAATTCCTCCTGTAATGCTAACGTGCAGCCAAAGTAAAGAAATTCTTCTGAAGGGTGAGGACACAGAAATGACAAAAGGAGAATGGCCTGGTCAGAGGAGCAATTTCAAAAGGTCACTACAGCGCCAAGGAAGCACATTAGCTAGGGTACTATGGCTGTTATCCAGAGGAGAAATGATGAGAGTCAGAATCCAGGCTATAAGGGAGGGGTGGAGTGGGATTCAGAGAGATTTAAAAAGTAGAATTGCTAGGCTTTGACTTGATGAGTGTGTGGTACAGGTGATAGCATTCCTCAAATTAGGGAATAAAGGCATTGGAATAGGTTTGAGATGAATTCATTTGGGGATATATTGAGTTTTAGGTGCCCACAAGACATACACAGCACTTAATGAAGAAAAAAACCTCAAACTCCATCTATCTCTGACGGTGACCCTAGGAACATGCTATGAGACATCCTGACTGTCTTTTCTGTCCTTTCAGACAGCCTAAAATGTTAGAAACATTTCTCACCCCAAGTTTCTTTTTTTTTTTTCCGGTACTGGGAATCAAACTGAGGACCTTGTGCTTGCCAGATAGGCACTGCACTACATTCCCAGCCCAAATCCAATGTCTTCCTTTTTTTAGTTCTGGAAACTGAATTTAGGGCCTTGTGCTTGCCAGCCAGGCACGGTGCCATTGAGCTATATCTCTGGCCCCCTTGGCCCAAGTTTCTTTACCAACCTTCTAGTGTAACATCCAGGGAGGACTGTGCACCATGCCACACCATGCCAACTGTATTGTTCAGGGTGGAGAGCAAGCCACTGTTCTTCCACATCATGCCACTGCTCTGCTGGAATGCGCAGCTCCTGGCGATCCTAAACCCAGCATCGGTAAAGAACTAGAGAAGCGGTTTACAATAAAAGAAGACAATTTATTTGAAGATGGGGAAGGAGGGAGAGAGGGATGACAGACAGCTCCTCCGGAGGAGTAGGGAGAATTCGAAAGTGAATTGCAGGAGGATTGCTTGTGTGCAGCTGCTTTTAATGAGATCCTGGTCCCAAGCAGGCTCCTGGAATCTGATTGGCCCCCTGGCTGGTCTTTCATCCTAACCTTGGATTTCTTCGTGCCGCAAGACCTTTCCCTGTCCTTTGGGGAGGGTTACATTATGGGTGGGGGCCTTAAGGACAGGTAGTCTAGGCTGAAGGATTAAGAAAAGGGTAAATTTGTGATTCTTACGTTAATCCAGCTACCAGGGAACTTCTGGGTCTTGAGTTCTCTGTCTTTGTCTTCCTAATTGCTTGTGTTTAGCTGCCTTTGTCTAATTCCTCAGAGTCTAGCTGCCTTTCCTCTTATAATTGCTGGAGTCTGGCTACAGGTCAAAACTGCCTTGTTAATTTTTAATAAACCTCAATGAGGCCTTCATCCTATCTTTTTCCTACCTACAGTGCCCTCTGTCCCTACATTAGAAGGCAATGAGTTGTGTGGTTGCTCTATGAATTTCTGAAGTCTAGTTCTCATTTTGTTTGCCCTCAATTTCTTCATTCAAGCTTCTGTGATTTGCCTCAGTTCTAATATTTTGGAATTTGATGACAAGACCACATCTACTCTTTCCTCCCATTGTGATAATATGGACTTCAGCTATATCCCTTCTTTTTTTTTTTTTTTTTTTTTTTTCCCTATGGGGAATGGAACTCAGGACCTCACGCTTGCCAGGCAGGCACTGTGCTGCTGAGCTACATCCCCAGCCCTTTCTCTTTTATATTTAACAGTTTTATTAGAGTCTAATTAACACACAATAAACTTCATGCATTTAAAATGAACAGTATACGATCCCCGGTACCAAAAATAAAATAAAATAAAATAAACAGTATAAATTTTTACATACATGAAGCTATCACCACAATCCAAATATTGAACATATCCAGTATTCTCAAAAGTTTCCTCAGGCCCCCTTGTAATTCATCCCCTGAAGCACTAGGCAACCAGTGACCTGCTTTCTATCACTATAGATTAGTTTTCATTTTCTACAGTTTACATAAATTGAATTACATAGTATGTATACTTATTTTGATCTGGCTTATTTTGCTCAGCATAATCATTTTGAGATCTATCCATGATGTTGCATGTATTAATAGTTAATTTGTTTTTATTGTCAAGTAGTCTTCCACGGTATGGATGTAGTAGAATTTATTACACCTATTGATGGACATTTGGGGTGTTTCCAGATGTTGTCGATTACAAATAAAGCGTCTATGAACATTCATGTATAGCCTTTATATGGACTTTCTTTCCTCTTGGGTAAATGCCTAGTAATGGAATGGTTTGATCATACAGTAGATCTATCTTTCTTTGGTTTTTTTTTTTGGTACCGGGGATTGAACTCTGGTCCTTCACTTGCGAGGCAGGTGGCGGAACCACTGAGCTAAATCCCCAACCCTGGTTTTTTAAAAGAAAATTCAATACTGTTTTACGAAGTGGTTGTACCATCTTACATTCCCACCAGTAATGTATGAGAGTTCCAATTTCTCCACGTTCTTGTCAACATTTACTGTTACTAATATATATTCTTTACTTTAGTCTTTCTAATAATGTATAGTAGCATTATGGATTCCATTTGCATTTCGCTAATGACGAATGATGTTGAACAATTTTTCACGTATTCACTTGCTGTTGTACATCTTCTTTGGTGAAATGTCTGTTCAAATCATTTGCCTGCTTTTTGGAGGGTTTTGTTTGAGGGGTTTTTTTGTTTTTTCTTTTTTTTTTTGGTACTGGGGATTGAACTCAGGACCTTGCACTTGTGAGGCAGGCATGGTGCCATTGAGCTAAATCCCCGGCTTTGCCCACTTTTTTTATTGAGTTGTTTGTTTTCTTATTATTGAGTTTTGAGAGTTCTTTATGTATTCTAGAAACAAGTCATTTGTTGGATATGTAATTTGTAATTATTTTCCCAGGCTGTGGCTTGTCTTTTCAGTCTATAAACTGTGTCTTTCACAGAGCAATTGTTTGAATTTTGATGAAGTCCAGTTTGTTAATTTGTTCTTTTATACACAGTGCTTTTGATGTCATATCTAAAAAAAATCCTTTTCTAACTCAAGGTCATAAGGATCTTCTTTTTTCCCCAGAATTTCTATAGGTTTTACATTTAGGCCTTGATTTTCTTAAGTGGTGCAAGATATTCACCAAAGTGTGTGCGTGTGTGCGTGTGTGCGTGTGTGTGTGTGTGTGTGTGTGTGTTGGCATATGGAGAGACAGTTACTCCAGTACCATTTGTTAAAAAGACTGTTCTTTTTCCACTGAATTGCCTTTGTACCTTTGTCAAAAATCAACTGTCCAGGCTGGACATGGTGGTGCAGGCTTACAATCCTAGCACTCTGGGAGGCTGAGGCAGGAGGATCACAAATTCAAGCCCAGCCTGGCCAACTTAGCAACTTAGTGAGACCCTATCTCAAAATAAAAATAATGATCTGGGGATATAGGTCAGTGCAAAGGCCCTGGCTTCAGTCCCCAGTACCACACGCACACACACACACACACACACACACACACACACACACATCAGTTGCCCACATACATGTGATCTATTTCTATTCTGAACTCTCCATCATTTCTATTGACCTACTTATCTATCCTTATACCAACATCACAGTCTTTTGAGTACTGTAACTTTATAATAAGTATTAAAATTAGGTAGTATTTGTCATCCAATTTTGTTCTTCCTTTCCAAAGTTGTTTTATCTCATCTAGGTCTTTTGTATTTTTGTGTGAATTTTAGAATCAGTTTGTCAATTTCTACTAAAAACCTGATGTATGCTGGGTCTGATGTTAATCCCAGCCTGTGTAATCCCAGTACTGTGGGAGGCTGAGGCAGAAGGATCACAAATTTGAGCCCAGCCTAGGAGACTTAGTCTCCAAAAAACAAAAATGAGGGGCCGGGGATTTAGCTCAGTGGTTCCGCCGCCTGCCTCGCAAGCGCAAGGACCAGAGTTCGATCCCCGGTAACAACAAAAAAAAAAAGCGTTGGGGTATAGCTCAGTGTCAAGGCCCTGGTTTCAATCCCCAGAAAATAAATAAATAAATAAATAAATCAGATGTGATTTGCATTGTATTGTGGTGAATTTATAGATCGGTTTGGAGAGAACTGACATCTTAACAATACTGAGTCATGCAATTCACAGTATTTCTACATTGACTTAAGTCTCCTTTAATCTTTCTCAGTGGCATTTTATAGTTTTCAGTACACAACTCTTTCACATATTTTGTCAGATTTCGCATATTATTTCATATTTTTGATGACATTATAAATGGAGGGGGTTTTTTTGGTTTTGCTTTTGTTTTTTGTCCCAGGGCTCAAACTCGGGACCTTGCGCTTGCGAGGCAGGCGGCGGAACCACTGAGCTAAATCCTCGGCCCATAAATGGGTTTTGTTGTTGTTGTTTTGGGGTTTTTTGTTGTTGTTGTTTTGGTGGTGGTGGTAGTGGTGGTGGTATTGGGAACTGAACCCAGGACCTTTGCCCTGAGCTATATTCCCAGGCCATTTTTTATTTTTTAATTTTGAGATAGGGTCTCATTAAGTCACTAAAGTTGCCCACGATGGACTCAGACTTTTAATCCTCCTGCTCCAGAGTGCAGGGATTACCAGCCTGTGCTACTAGGCCAGCTACATAATTTTGATTTGTAATTTCAATTTCCATTTGTTTGTTGCTAGCATATAGAAATGCAGTTGGTTTTTGTGTATTGATCTTATTTTCTGCAATCTTACTATACTCACTTATTACTTCTAATAGTGTTTTTGGTTTGTTGTGTTTTGTTTGGTAGATTCCACTGGATTTCCTACATAGATGATCATCAATCATTGACAAAGTATTTTTCTTTTTTTCTATTTTTTTTTTTTTTTTTTTTTGGTACCTGGAATTGAGCTCAGGACCTTGCACTTGCCAGGCAGGCGAGGGCGCTGCTGAGCTACATCCCCTGGCCCAGTGTTTCTTTTCTACTCTCTCCTATGCTACAGTGACACTACAGTGGCTCCCTAGTCCCTTAGTCCATCTTGGCTCCACCTCAACCAAATGGGTAACTATTCTGACTGAGGCAGATTCATTCATAGCTGGGGTCTGGCTCTCAGAGTTTGGAATTATCATATACTAGGCCAGCAGTTCCAGAGGACCCCCTCTAGGACAGGATAGGGAAAAATGGCTTTATGTTTTTGTCCTTCAGACCCCAAAGAACAGAATATCTGCCACACCCCTGCAATCCATCCCTCACCCTGGGTTTCCAGGCCAGAGCCATGTGGAGAATCCCTTCCAATGTCTCTCTTTCTTTGCTCCTATCTGAACTAGTAGAAGAGCCTTGTATGACTAGGGGGGTGAGTATAGGTCCTTGAGAAAGCATGGGAGGCTCTCTTGTAACACGAGGAAAGAAAGGTGATGCCATGTCTCACTTCTGCAGTGAACTGGACTTCTCACTTGTGCCTTGCTATTGTGTGCACCTGACTCTGAGGAGGTTGTCCAGTATCTGCTCAATGAAGCAAATAGTGCGTCTGTGACCCAAAGGTCCTCTGTTGTATCTTCCCCAAAGGCAGTGCCTTCCTCTTTCCCTGCTCTGTCATGACTTACTGAGATCATGATTCTTTTCTGGGATATAAAAGAGTACATATCAGGGTGGGGGGTGGACAGGGAATGTCTCCTTTAATTGATGGGTTTGGACTGCCCTCTCTCACAGAGTCGGAATGACGTTATTCGAGAACGCTTTGGGATGGACCCCAAGCCAGAGATGCTTTTGGGCCTGGCTGCCCTCCACATCTATATCACCGTCTCAGCCACTCGGCCCAGTCAGAAGATCTCACTCAAGAATGTGGAGTGAGTTGTGCCGGGGCCCTTCGGGGTGGGAACAAATAGCTGTGTAGGGGGAAGGTGCAGAGGTCAAGCTCTGCTGTACTTTTCAGGAATGTGGGGCATGAGATAGGGGTAAGAATTGAAGTTCCTCATGATGCTCTAGAGAACTACAGCTTCTGTGATGGGACCGTCACTAGTGTTCCCCTGTCCCCATGCCTCTTCTTTCTCCCAATCTTTCTTCCTCCATCTCTGCCTCTCAGGCCCAGTCAGTTTCTGTCTTACCATCTTCCTCTCTCTGTACCACTTTCTCTCTCACTAATCCCTTACTTTTTTTCTGTGTTTAGGAAGGAATGGGGCCTGGAACCCTTTCTTCCTCCCTCCCTCCTGCAAGTCATCAAAGAGAAGAACCTTTGGAAGTCTCTCTCTCAGCAGCTGAAGGCTCACCAAATGCATCCTTCTAGTAGCACCAAGGTACTCAGGAGAAGCCATGGGGTACTGCGTTCAGGCACTAGAGGCCTCAGGGCTTCTGGGTGGTTCTTCTTCAGATCCCCACCACTCTTTCTGACTCAGGTGCACACCTAGCTTGGCCAGGTATGGGAGCAATTAGGGAGAGGAGTGTTTCCCAAGCCTGAGCCTCTCCCAGAGACAACTCAGTGGCAGGTCACTAAGAGAGCTCTGGGTGCTCAAAGCTAAGGGCCAAATGCAAGCAATCGTCCTTGGTCCTTCTGCCAGTTAGTACTGATTGAGCATCTGTCATATGGAAGGCACTGGACCCTGGGGGCACATGTTTTCCATGGAAATGACTGCTCTGTCCCTCAATAAGTCCTAGAATCTAGAATTTTGGAAGATAAAAGCCCAGCCTGAGGATGGGTTTTGTGTGACAAAAATCTAACCTGGAGAATGGTCACTGGAGAAGCTTGTGAAGGCTTAGGCCACTGCTGTACTCACTTCCACCTTCTAGGGCACACACCCTTGCCTCTGACGGAACCCTCTTCCTGCCTCCCCCAGCTCTGCAGGCCCTTCCTAGGCTTCTAAGGCTCCATCTGCTTTTGTGTCTTATCCAAGAGGGAGGAGGGTAGTGAAAGGTACTAGAATCAGCACACAGATGTACACAGGGGACACAATGGCTTCCATATATCTCACCCATTCCAGATTTCTTGCTTTACCAACTAGCTTCTCTTTTAAGATACAAATCTCCTCAGAAAGTTAACCTATTCCCACCTTGCTGTGTGTATTTAATCAGATTGTTTTCTTCTTTGCTGAGAGCAACAGTGCTCACCACCATCTTTTCAGTTATCATGTTTTTGGAGGCACCCCAGCGCTCTGCCTGAAGATACAAAGATGAAGAAGGCCTGGTCTCGGCCCTCAAGTCAGACACAGTCCAGTAGGGAAACAGAGTCATGAGTTCCAACACAGTGTTGCAGACGAGGGTGCTCTGGAATCAGAGGACACTGATCCCAGGCTGAACAAGGAGGAAAAGGCCAGGAGTTGGTGCCTTTGATGCCAGATCTGGGTCTTGAAAGACAGACAGATAGGAGTCTGTCTAAAGGAGTTGGTGAGGGTGGGTAATGGGAGAAAGACTTTTTCAGGCAGGGAGATCCATCTGTAACAAAAGTCCAGTGATAAGAGAGACCATGGTGTAAGGGAAGAAATGCAAATAGTTCAGCCTAAGCAAGTATACAAGGTGCAAGGGATGTACAAGGGAATGGGGTTAGGGACAGGAAGGCAGGCCAGGCAGGGGAGAGGTTGGCAGGAGCCAGTTTATGAAAGGCCCAGTGTGCCCTGGAAATGGGTTGTAATTCATCCACAGCAGAGAACCATCTAAGAATTTAAGCAGGAAACCAGTGTGATTCAACTTACTGTGTTTTAGGAAGCTTCCTTTAACAGTATGTGGAGGCAGTCAAGAGAAAGCAATGTTAATACTGGAGGTAACCCAGCTGTCACCCTGATGCAGGTGGGAATGTCCAAGACAATGACTGGGAAGAGAAGAAGGGTGGATAGGTTGAAGAGAGAGAGTTAGGATGTAAAACCAAGGTGATTTGGTGCCTAGCGGCCCTCAAATGACAGGAGGAAGGAGGAATACAGTGTCTCTCATAGATGTCTGACTCAATTGCTCCAGTGATGCTGATAGAAACCTGGAAGACCCAATGAAGACCAAGCTTGGGACCTAGAGTGAGACTCCCCCAACAGCTGCAGATGGCCGGTGTTTGGGTGGCAGTAATGATTTGATACACAGTTAGGTCAGAGTTAGGGGACAGTCAGTGTTGGAATTAACCCATGAGCAAAGTGAGTCTGCTGGCTGCCCTAGAAGTGCGAGTCAGGAGGTGGGAGGAGCGTTTAGAAAGGGAGGTGGGGTGCTAGAGGTGAGAGCCCTCCAAGCTGGAATCTTCCTGCAGTTTGGCCCAGCATCTCCTCACATTCGCACAGTGTAGCTTCAGGACTCAGGACTGGTCTAGGATGTTGAGACTCCTCTTTGAGAACGTAGGTTTGCCTTTCCTGTGATCCTTGGCTTCTCATATTTTGGGGTGGGTTGTTTCCACAGGGTTCTGCAGTCCAGGCAAAGCTCCAGTACCTTCGAATTCTGAATGAACTTCCAACCTTCACAGGCGTATTGTTCAACACTGTGGGCCTGGTCAGTGGGGCAGTGTGGGGAAGATGGGGAGGAGGAAAACCCTTTGTTAGCATTTGTCCTGGGGGGAAAAACATAGTTGGCCCTCTGTATCCTAGAATTCTGTATCCATGGATTCAGCCATCCGTGGATCAATATTCAAAGAAAATATTGTCAGTTCTGAACTGTACAGACCTTTTTCTTGTCATTATTCCCCAAGCAATACAATATAACAACTATTTACACAGCATTTACATTGTATTAGGTATTACAAGTAATCTAGAGATGATTTCAAGTGTATGTGAAATAGCCAGCATGATGGTGCACACCTATAATCCCAGGTAGTTGGGAGCTTGGGGCAAGAGGACCACAATGCAGCTCTGTGGTAGACTGCTGGCCTAACATCTCTAAGGCCATGGGTTCAACCCCGACTGCAAATAAAATAAGAAAGTTTATGGAAGGATGTACATAGGTGACATGCAAATACTATACCCTTTTATATAAGGGACCTGCATATCTGGATTTTAGTATCTGCGAATGGGTCCTAGAATAAATCCCCCATGGATACTGAGGGCAAACTGTATTTGTTTTCAGTACCCTTTTATAACCCTGTCATGTTCCCCTTCCTCTATTTCAGGGATTAGCAAACTTTCCCCGTAAAGAGCCAGATAGTAAATATTTTAGGCTTTTGCAGGTGGGCCAAACAGATCTCTGTGGCAGCTATTTAGCCATGCCATCTTAGTGTGGAAGCAACCATAGACAATGCATTAACACAAATAGGCATTGCTTTGTGCCAGTAACTATTTAGGGACACAGAAATTTGAATTTCATATAATTTTCACATGCCACAAAATATGGTTCTTTTGATTTCTTTCCAACCATTTAAAAATGTAAAAAGCCATTCTTAGCTCTTGAGCCATACAAAAACAGGTGGTGCATTGGATTTGGCCCCAGGGCCACAGCGTTGCCAACCCCTGCTCAATTTCATTGCCCTTGCACTCCTGCAGCCCCATACCCCAGTTTCAGGAGTCCTCATGCTGCCCCCTGCCACCCTTGCCCTCCACTGCAGCAGCAATTCCCTGAGAAAGGGCAAAGCAGGCCCCGCCTCTAACACCGTGACCTCAGTGAAAGGAAATTCAAATCATCTTGCTGATTAGCTCCAGGTACTTGTCGTGCTCTGGGGACCACACTGCCTAGCAGGGCACACTAAACGAAGGCTGCTTATCAAAGTACCTATAGGCAAACACAAGAAGTTCCTGGGGTGATGCTAATGGCAGGAAGTGAGCCCCTAGAGGCTTCAGGCTTGATGCCGCCAAGGAGTTTGTCAGGATCATTTAAGGAAATCCAGTGCAGCCTACCTAGAGGTAGCCATTTACGTACTGGTATTTGCAAAACGCTGAAAGCCCACTGTCCCCTACCTACACCCCACAAACCCTCAAATCTCTTCTATCCACCTGCCACTGCTGCAGTTCCTATTAGCCATTCTTTTGGGTTAAGATTGCTGGAATGCTTATTAAAAGGTAAATATTCTTTAGGGAGGGAGGCCTCCATTAAATACCCAATCAACCTCAGCACCTTAGGCAGTTACTTTGTCCGTTTAGCTTTTGGCATTGGGTGAGAAGTGCAAGTTTGAGCAGCTGTTGTGGAGGGTGGAGGAGGGTAAAGACTGGGCATAATGCAGCCTGGCCTGACAGAGCACTGGATGGGGACCTTGAATGGCCTGCAGCAACCTGGGTTTGCTAGGGGAAGGTTCTCCAAAGGCACCAAATCGAACCTCACCTACTTTACCATTTTGTTAGAGCTAGCCTGCTACCGCCCATTTAACTGCTGCTAAGGCCAAAGTGTTGATAGACCAATGATCTGGGACCGTAGCCTGGAACAGAGAGGTTCCAGACCATTTTGCCCTCAACCCCCACAGAATTGGTCCAGTGGATATTTTCTATTTTCTTCCTCCTTCCTCCTCTCTCCACCTCCTCCCCTTCCTCTCTGTGCATGCTGCTTGCCCTGCTTGGGCATAGGATGAAAAGCAGTCTGCTACCACTCTCCTGGTCGGACCCCGTCATGGCATTAGCCATGTAATTGATCTCAAAACCAACCTCACCACTGTGCTGTCCGAGTTCAGCAAGATCAGCAAGATCCAGCTGTTCCGGGAGAACCAGGGTGTGGCCCGCGTGGAGACCAGCATCATGGATGCCAAGGTAAGCCCTGCTTTGAATGGCTGCTTCTCTCCAGGCATGGGCCCTGGGAACGGAGGAAGAAGTAAACTTCAGAAAGACAGTTTGAGCCTTGAAGTGAGGCTAAGTGACTGAAGTGATTCAGACCATGAGCCACTTTGGGCTCATCTTTCTTTCCCTTCCAAGCCTGGGGAGTCTCATCAACCCAAAATGATTCTTCTCCACAAGGCAGGGGAACTGGAGAAATCAGAGCCACCCAGGCCATTTGCAATCATTTTCATGTCATACCCCACATAGAAAAATCGTATTCGTGTAAAACTTTGAGCTAAATGAAACAGCCCCTGAGAGGGGGCCACCCCAGGCCCTCTTGGCTGCATCAGAAGCTGAAGAAATGAATATGTTGTCTCATCTCTCTTCGTTCCTCTTGTACACCAGTTGGGAACCACTCACTTTGAATCATGGGTCTTTTTTTTTCTTTTTTTTTTTTGGTACTGGGGATCGAACTTGGGTCCTTGCCCTTGAGCAGCAGCTGGCAAAACCACTGAGCCAAATCCCAAGCCCTAAAATATAATGATGAGTTCCTTTTTTTGTTTTTGGTACCAGGGATCGAGCTTGGGACCTTGCGCTTTCGAGGCAGGTGCCAGAACCACTGAGCTAAATCTCTGGCCCCACTTTGAATCATGGAAGAGGGGGTGTCTAAGCATGTGGGCAGAGCCAAGGGGTCCTGGGGAAGGGGGGTCAGGTAAGACTCATTCCCATTTCATCTCCCAGAGTCCGGCTCTTTCAGAACCTCAGAACCCTTCCCATAGATCGGTTCCTTTGGACTGGCAAGAAGATATCATCTCCTGTGCAAAGCCTGGCAGTGGCAGTCAGCCCCCAACCCCCCAAGCCCCCTTCACAGCTCTCCTATTTGAACACAGTGACTGGCTTAGGGCAGGGGGAGCTTGCCTGCCCACTTGCAGAGACACTTAGAGGAGGGGCAGCTTTCTCTTCTTCAAGGATTTCCCAGAGGAACGTGTCCTTAACAGATTAAGAGGTAGAGTGTTGGCTGTTTCTAAAAGAGCAAATTATTTTCTTTATTTTTGTACTCGTAAAACCCAGAAAGCTTTAATATGTTAATTTTTCCACCTGTGATTTCCATTGGTTTAGGAACCCACTGGCCATGATGTTTAATTGGCTTGTGGCCTCATCCTCAACCAATGGTTGCTGCCCTCCTCAGATGTTGTTGGGTAAAAAGCCAAATGCATCAGGAGGAAAGAGGAAGGAAAGACAGGGCATGCAAGGGAGGTGTGGCTTCCTGAGAAATCAAAGGAGTTGAAAAGGGAGAAACAGCTTTCAACTTAGTCTGCTTCTTAGGTTCTACTAGTGATTTTCCACAGTGCTGCACAACAGAATTTCCTTGAGAAGCTTTTAAAAAATATGGATGCCTGGGTCCTACTCCCAGAAATGATTTCATTGGTCAGAGGTGCACCCTGAGTGGGCATAAGGATATCAGGATTTCTTTTTTCAGTTTCCCGAGTGTCTTTGTAGTACCATCAGTTGAAGAGTACACAGGTTTGAAACCTGTATTTTCAGAGGTCTGGGAGGAAACAGGTTTAACAGGGATGGGTGGGAATTACTTCTAGAAGTGCTCCAACCACAGTTGTGGATTTGAATGCTCCAGAGGAATTATAGTCCCCCACCACACCCCCTTTTTTTAAGGTGCTTGGGATGGAACCCCAGGCCTTGTGCATGCTAGGCAGCACTCTACCACTAAGCTACATGCCCAGCCTGACAAGCTGTACTTTTACTGGGGAGATTAGACTTACAAAGATTCATGACATGTCTTAGAAACAACATCAGAACATATACAGACCTCTGGACTGAGACACAGGTCAGGTTTAAATCCCAGCTCTTCTGCTTCCTAGTTGTACAGCCTTGAGAAAGTGTCTTAACCTCTCTGAACCCTTATTCTCTCAACTGCAAAATGGAGCACCTAGTTCAAAAGGTAGTTATCAAGATTAAATGAGAGCCAGGTATGGCAGTGCATGCCTGTAGCACCAGCTACTCAGGAGGCTGAAGCAGGAGGGTCTTCAGACAAGAGGCCAGTCTAGGCAACTTAGTGAGATCCTGTCTCAAAATAAAATGGAAAAGGGGGGGGGGGCGCTGGGGATGTAGCTCCATGGTAGAGTGCTTGCCTATCATCTGTGAGACCCCAAATTCAATCTCTAGTACTGAAAAAAAATGATTCAATGAGAAGACACACGTAAATTATCTTAACACTGCCTTGTACATTATGCATTCAACAATGAGACCTATTATTTTTTCAAAAGCAAAACATCAATTAAAAAATTAATATCAAGTAAATGCCATAAATGAGTATGGTATGGAACATGAAGCAAAAGAACAGGAAGGAGTTAACCAGACTGATTTCCCCCAAGAGGATGTTTTAACCTGGATCTTGAAGTGATAGGCATGAATTAGCAAAGAGAAGTGAGATGTATTCAAAGACAAGGAGCAAGCATGGAAATAAATAAGCCATATGTGCAGATTGATAAACATAGTTGATTGGCTTGAGAGGAAAATGATGAGAAAAGGGATTGGAGAGATCGGGAGTGCACAGAACAAGTTGATTAAAGGCCTCAAAATCCAGTCCAAGGCATTTAGATTCAATGTGGTAGAGCAGTGGGAACCTACTGTAGGACCCTGAGCAGAGGGGTGACAGAATGGAAGCTGATTTGGACCAGAGTGCAAGAGGGGCAGGAACAAGGCTAATGTAAAACCAGGGAAGCAAGGAGGGGTTTGTGGAGCCAGTCTACCTGGGAAGTGATAAGGGCCTGAGCTGGAGAGAGCACCAGTAAGGAGAAAGAGCAGGTGTGAAACAAGCTCATTAAGACGTCCATGTGTATCCTCCCCCCACACCTGTCTTGCACATACAATGCACTGTCATATCATACCTAATGCTGTTACCTATTGCACATGGCCTAAGTGCACTGAGGAACAAGGCAACATGCACAGCACCACACCAAATCATGAGTGGGTGGTGAGGTGAGATGACATTATGGGATAAACAGAAGATGGTGATGGTGAATGGATGAGGCTAGACGGTTGCACCTTGCAAGTGGGAGACAGTGCATGGTTAGGGAGATGATATGAGTGTTCAGATATACAGTTATCAGGTGATAGCTGGTTCAGCTATGCCCTATTTTAAGCAAGTGATAAATCCATATGAAAAACCACAGGAGAATTATCCACTTTATGTCAGAATTTTTCTACTTTGTAATAAGATTTTCTTTGTGTGGTAGGCAGAATAATGGCCCCTGAAGATGTCCATGCTCTAGTCCCCAGAACCTGTGAATATAGCTGTGTTATATAGCAGGGGGAAATTAGAATTGCAGGCAGAATTAAGATTTCTAATCAACTGACCTTAAAATAGGGCTGTTAGCCTGAATTATGCAGGTGGAAACAGTATAATTACAAGGATCCTTCTAAGTGGAAAAGAGAGGCTAAGAGAAGGTCAGAGAGATATCATGTGAGGACTCAGCGCGACCTTGCCGGCCTTGATGGTGGAGAAGAGGACCATAAACCAAGGTGTATGGGCAGCCTCCAGAAGCCAGAAATGGTAAAGAAACAGATTCTAGCCTCCAAAAGGAACACTTGATTTAACCCAGTGAGACTTGTGTCTGACCTTCAGAACTGCAAGAATAGATGTATATTATTTAAGCCACTGAGTTTGTAGTCATTTGTTATAGCAGCAACAGAAAATTAATACACCATGAGATTCCTTCAAGTAGCAAGTACTCATATGCTGAATTAAAGATAGAATTTGAAGCTAGATGTGGTGGTGCACACCTATAATCCCAACTACTTAGGAGGCTGAGGCAGGAGGATTTCAAGTTCCAGGCCAGCCTGGACGAAGACCCTGTCCCAAAATAAAATTTTAAAAACAGCTGGAAATAGATAGCAACACCCTGTCTCAAACTCCACCTTCTCCCATCCCCCATAAAAGAGCTGGGAATGTAGCTCAGTGGTAGAGTGATTATTTAGCATTTGGGAAGCCCTGAATTCAACCTCTAGTACTGTAAAAAAAAAACAAAAAACTATGATTTGATTAATAAATATGCTGTTTATGCCCAACTTTTGTTATGTGCAATCAGATGCACCTATCAGCAATGTCTGCCATGGGCCTCATAAGTTACAAGCTTGTACCCTAGGAAATGGGCAAAGTAGTATTCTTTTTCAAATCAACAGGCAAGATACCCAATGGATCATGTTGATAGCTTGAAATCAACCATGATGAGAGTATGTACACCCATAAGAAATTGGCAAATGCTACAAATCAAGACTTGAAAGAGCTGGTTGCAAAACATTTACCAGCATGCTATGTATAGGGTACACTCAATTTCAGCTGTCTGAATTTTCTTACCAGGGGACACAGAATTTAGAAACCAAACTTAGTCTATTTCCCCCTAAATATACCACTCTGGTCTGGGAATATTCATTTAAAGAAATTCTCAGCCCTGGCTGCACATGAAAATCATGTCTGGTAATTTAAAAACCACAGGCTTTTCATCACAGACCACTTAAATCATAATTTCTGGGGGTGTGGCCCAGGGATCTATAAGTCATTACGGTTCCTCAGGTGATTCTAATGTGCATCTGTCGTGAGAACCACTGCCTTAAATGATACTCTGCCTTGCCCCCAAATTGGCTGGCTATGCCCAATTAGACTTTCCCAGCAAGAACACAAATATACTGGTCCCTTGGGACTCAAGGACAGACGTCTTCTGCCCTTGCCTCTCCAGGTCCTTGAATCCCCATCCTTTGCCTGTTGTCAGAGATGCTAGAGTGAGCCGAGGCTATTGCTGGGCACCCCAAGAAGGAGATGCAGCTGGAGCATGTCAAATTAATCCCTGCTGTACTTTCTCCTGCTGACTCATGCCTCAAACTCCATGCTCCTTATCACATTTTCCACTCGAGGATGGCCTGGGCATATTTAGTTATAATTTTCACTCAGCTTTCTTGTAGTGATGTGAACATGAGGT